GTGGGCGAGGTCTCCGGAGCAGAGACACGGGGCCAGAGGTTGAGCTGATGCGCAGCGTACTGCACTGCAAACGGCCACAGGAAATGGGGGGCAGCCGCATGGATCATGGAGGTACGAGCGACCTCCATGACTAAGCCAATGCGGCGCTCAGCAACCCCATTCTTCTGTGGAGAGGCCGGAAGTGTGAACGTCTGGCGGATGCCGTGCTCCGCAGAGTAGGCTGCCAAGAGGTCGGAGGAAAACTCACCACCTCTGTCAGAGTGCAGACGGAGGACGGGAAAGTCCGACTGGAACCGCTCGCGGAGCTGGAGACGAGCAGCGCGGATCCAAGGGATCAAAACATCAGGGACCTCACCCTTGGTGCGCAAGGGGAAGACCGTGGTGTAGCGCGTGTAGTCGTCGACGACCAGCAAGAAGTACCGCTCGTGGCCCCATCCACGGACGCGGGCTGGGCCCCACACGTCCAGGTGGAGAGTCTGCAGGGGAGCCTCTGTGGGAGGGAACGAAGAGGAGTGAGGAGTGGCGCGCTGCCGCCCCTCGACACAGGGAAGACAGGGAGGAGCAGGCGAGGGTGGGAGGGGAGGGAGAACCCTGGGAAGACCAGAGACAAGGTACCGGGAGTGCATGCCACGAAGGCGCTGCAATGAGGGGTGACCAAGGCGGTGGTGCCAGAGGATGGTCTGGTGCGACAGGGTGCGACACAAGCAGGGGGCGGACAACTGACCTGACGCAGACGCAGACGCCGCTACCTGAGGGGACTCAGTGGTCAGTGTGTACAAGTCCGACCCCGGCTGCCGAGTGAAGGTAGCCAGGTGACGACACGTCTGGGCACACGTGCAGTGTGTCACACGCTCGTAGGCAGGGGTGAACTGGTGAACACCCGCGTCCTGGAGTGCAGAACCCGCCACCAAGTTCGTAGAGAACGAGGGGAGGTAAAGGCCCGACAGTGTGCCGGACGGGACAGCAGGACAAGGGAGGGCAGTGGTGGAGGTCTGAAGGACCGGACCCCCGGAGGGGTCAGCCAGGGAGATAGCAACCGGTCTAGGGAGCTGCTCTAGGGCAGTGCGGTCGCGAAAGAAACAGCGGGAAGCACCTGAGTCCAGTGTGAAGGTGTGCAGTGCCTCAGTAGACGTAGTACCTGAAGGCGCAGACTCACAAGCACCAGAAGCAGCAGACTCACGAGCGCCTAGAGCAGCAGCCTCACCAGCACCTGGAGCAGGAGACGCACGAGCACCTAGAGTAGCAGCCTCACCGGCACCTGGAGCAGCAGACTGGATACCGGGGTCAGGCGGCACACACAGGTGACAGGCTCCCTCGGCACTAGTAGACAATGCATACGTTGCAGTGAGAATAGCATCATAGTCAAGAGCAAAGCTATCTACCCTCTGCCTAAGCAGCTCCACCCAGTCGGGGAGCTCAGCGTCGTCGCCAAACTCTGTACGCCAAGCGTCGCTCAGACGGGCGAAGCAGCGAGACTCTGCGTGACCAGGCGTCCCGCAAGGCTGACCAGTCCGGACACCCGTGCTAATAACGTACGGGCAGCGAGCAGTACTCCGTGACCCGCTACTCTGAGCGTACCACTCACGAAGCTGCTGGGGCGAACGAGTCTCGCGCAGACGACGCTGCTGCTGCACCGGGCCACTACAAGAAACTCCCGAACTACCCACTCCAGGACGACTCCCACTAATGCCACCCCGACAACCCCAACTGGCGTACCACTCACAAAGCTGTTGGGGCGTGAGGGACACACGTGGACGGCCCTGGAGCTGCATCTGGCCACGCCAGGAGCAGCAGTAGAAGCAGTAGCAACAGTAGTAACAGCAGTAGCAGCACAGGGCCGGGCAGTGCTCACCAGTGGTGGGAAGGGCAGGCGCACGACGGAGGCGACTGCGGGGCCGCTACAGCGGCAGGGCGGGGCCGCGACCGCGACCGCGGCAGGGAGCTCCGCGGCAGTTGCTGCAGGGCGGGACCGGGCCGCGACGATCGCTGCTGCACGGGTGGCTGCTCCAGGGGCCAGGGGCGGCTGCTGCAGTGGCGGCTGCTCCAGGGGCGGCTGCTCCAGGGGCGGCTGCTCCAGGGGCCAGGGGCGGCTCCTGCAGTGGCGGCTGCTCCAGTGGCCAGGGGCGGCTGCAGGTGCGGCTGCTCCAGGGGCCAGGGGCGGCTGCTGCAGGGGCGGCTACTCCAGGGGCGGCTGCTCCAGGGGCCAGGCGCGGGGTAGGGCAGGGCGACGCGGCGGGCAGGGGCGACGCGGCAGGCAGGGCGACGCGGCGGGCAGGGGGCGACGACGCGTCAGCAGCTGGGCGCTGCCGCGTCAGCAGCAGGGCGCGGCCGCGTCAGCAGAAGGGCGCGGCCGCGGCAGCAGTAGGGCGCGGCCGCGTCAGCTGCAGAGCTGGCGGGGCCGCGTCACGGCAGGGCGGGGCCGCGTCCGCGTCGGCGGCAGGGCGGGGCCGCGACCGCGGCAGGGTGGGGCCGCGTCAGCGACAAGGCGGGGCCGCGACTGCGGCCTGACGGGGCCGCGAGAGCGACCTGACGGGGTCGCGCACTGGCCTGACGGGCCTGCAGAGGCTGCGTGCGGGCGGCGAGGGCCTGCAGGGGCGGCACGCGGTCGGGCAGAGGCTGCGCGCGGGCGGCAAGGTCCTGCAGGGGCAGCGCGCCGACCTGACGGGCCAGCAGGGGCGGCTCTCGGGCCTGACGGGCCTGCAGAGGCGGCTCGGGGGCCTGACGGGCCTGCAGGGGCGGCTCGAGGGCCTTACTAGCTTGCAGGGGCGGCGCACTGGCCTAGGGCAGCAGGAGGCAGCGCGAGGGCTGCAGGACAGCGCGCGGGCAGAACGAAGGGCGGGGCGCGCGAGGGCGCACTAGCAGAAAAAGGCGCACGAGGGCGCACGAGCAGAGAAAGGCGCACGAGGGCGCACGTAAGGTAGGGCGCACGAGGGCGCTTCTAGCGGAATAGTGGGCCCGTAGTAGTAAGCGGTCCTAGGTGGCAACCTAGGCTCGTGATACCATGTCAGAATGAACAAGAGTGATTGAACTAGGAAAGATTTGGGTACAAGTAGGAAGCCCTAAACTTACTGTACCCCATAGCAACTACCCCACTACAGCCTAAACAAACTGTAGCAGATATGACATTTGACAGTTCGCTGCAGTGAAAAAGACTTCAACGTCGAAGAGCCACCCCTTCACTGTAGTAGTCTTGTCTGTATGATTGAACGGGGGCGGGTTTACGGGTTTAATCTCGATCGTTGTTACTGCAATGGCGTCACTGCCGCTCGCTGCTTATCTTCTTCTTCGAACTTACGTGTGAGCTCGTCCAACGGGTTGCTCACCGCTTGACTGTTGCCTTCGCCTTCTTTGCTGGGCGACTCCTGACGCGTTTCACCTAGCGTCTGGCGTAGTTTGGTGTTTTCCACATGTAGTGTTGTTACTTCTGCCAAGAGATTTTGCACTGTTGGCTGTAGCTCTGCCATTTGCGCTAGCATCTTGTTCAATGTCTCCTGGTCCATGTCTCGAACGCTTCGTCTGGTGGGCAGCGGGATATCCGTGGCCTTCAGGCGAAGGGAAAGCAAAAACTATCGGAGTCGGGCAGGTTAGGATTAACGAACCTTGCAGCCAACCGTTTTGCAGTCCCTTCCCGTGCCACCAAACTACCCTTGAAAAGCGGGGTGAACTAGGAAAGTAGCTATGATACCATGTGTTATGAGTTGTAAAAGAGAGTGCGCGAAATAACGAACAACGAGGCTGTGACTGAATGAACTGACAATACAATGGAGGTACGCGCTAATATAGTGACTACCCTAGCTAGGAGGGAACGTCGGGAAACGAGGTTGGGTGCAGGTTTGGCGATCGAAGAGCCGAAGGCGACGTGAGGAGCCTCGGCAGTCGGCCGAACATGCAGAGTCCGAAAATCGGGCTGTACGCGTAGCAGTCAACCCCGATAAGGAATTCGGGAAACTTCCTTACACAATGAGAGCACAAAGTCTAGCCTAGTAGCCCCAGTATCCTTCTGGCCCATCACATCTTTGCACTTCCTAAAAGCCTTTGCGTGTTAGAGTGTGTTCCGTATTCCGTTTAAATGCAGGTATTTTCTGCGTCCTAACATGTTCAAATAAGCCCATGGGATTCGAGCGGGAATCCATTTTGGAAGGGGATTGCTGAAATTGATTGTTGGGTCGCGTCGCGCATCGCACATCCTTCTGACCTGACACACCGCAGCAAGCCATCAGTTCTGTCTGCTTTGTCTGCAGCCATCGAAACGACGACGCACTCGAATGTCACCTTGCCTCACCTCCTCCCCTCGCCTCACCCACCCACACAACACAACCCATCTGTCAACAACAGCTACTTTTCGGCACGGCGGGAGAACAGCCGCAGCTTTCATTTCACCCAACTGGCTGTCATTGTGCCTTTGGCGCTTCGTAAATAGTCATGCCGCCTTTGAAACGCCGGGAGTGCTGGAGATCACTGTGTACTGAGGGCTCGCAGCTTCCTCGCTTGCACGAGTTTGCGTCACATGTAGGAAATGCCTCCAGCCGAGGTTCGAATGCTCCTCCTCCGCAACCCCTACAATCTCCACAACTTCAAGTCGTACTTAGCAGCACCTAAAGGCCCTTACTGGAACTCTGAAAGGAACTAAGGACGGAAGACGATCGGATGCCATGACCAGATTTGAGACCAACGTTCTAACTAGCGCATTTCCGACCAGCACCTGCGTACGACGATCCTGTCGCCCACCGTTGGGTCGGCGACACAGACTCGGAAGCGCGCTATCCCGCGCCTGCCACTTAGCGCCACCCTGATCTAGCATCATGGTGATTTGTCATCAAGCCTTAATGTAGGAGCTCCTTAATCGTATAACTCTTTCAATCTCTCCCTCCAAGAGAGCCGCGGTACCGCCTTCCACTCCCAAGTTGCCTCTCCCTCTCCCGCTGAGAGCTACGAGAGGGGTAATAAGGACAGCCGCTGGTTTTTAGATACCCTTTTTCTTGTAGCCACACTCAGGCACCATGAGTGCGGAGAACAGAGCGGCCCGTCTGCAGGCGCCGCATTATGTAGTCCGCGACGTCCGTGCCGCATATTGCCGAGTCCCCTTTGGACATATCTATTCCATCGCCACCATGTCGGTTGTGCTACTATGCCTCCTCCTCGCGCTAGCGCCACACGCTCAGTCGCACGCGCCGCAGTCTTTCGCGACCCGCCGTGAAGAAGGTACGCGCGCCGCACGCACACGCACACGTACACGCAAACGCGGCGCATGCGCACTCGTTTCCGTTGACACTCAGACTTTTCAGCCCAGTTCCTTCCAATAGCGGCCAGTGATCCACTTGCTCCTCAACCATAGCCCCCTTTGATTTCTCAACGCTCTCGCTATCCATCAATGCAGCAGCTTGTACTATCATTCTCATTCAAGTCTGAAAGTCGCCCCTTCTGAAAGGCCACAGCTTTTTCAGTTCCGCCTCTCCGCAAAATTTCCCGCCCCTGTTATCCCCCAATGACAGATCCCACCACCGACAGCTCCGCTTCTCTTAAAAGTTCCGCGTCCGCAACTTTCTTCCCCCGCTCGCTCCGCCGACTGACCGCGCTGGGTCTCGTGCAGTGGTGGCTGCGCCGACATTCCCGCGTACCGGACGCCTCCGCGTACCGTCAGCCGCGCATGCCCTGTAAGCGACAGGGACAGGATCGTGCGTGTGTAGTGTGCGTGACGTGCGGGCCTCCGTAATACGCCTTTCTCTCGCTTTTCCAGTTCTCCTCTTCTTCCCATTCTCCCCACGCCTACCCATCTTCCAAGCCTTCCGCTTTCCCCCATCCCCCCTGGCCCCCGTTCTTCGCACCCTTGCGCAGACGGGCGCACTCTCGGCCTTCCCCCGCCCCGCGCGCACCTAATGTCGGCGCAACCCGCGTTCAACCCCGTGTCGCGGTACCTGTCGCTGGGGCTGTCGTTTTCGCCTGATACGGGCAAGCCCGTGTGGGAGTTCCCCCCGGTCGCGTCTTTCGTGGCGAAATTCGGTCCTGTCGGCGACCAAGGCCAATGCAGTGAGTCGCGAAGAGAGTTGCAAGAGTGGAAGAGGGGAAGGGGCAGAGAGCAGAGATTGTGGCTTGTGAGTTGTGAAATGAGAATAGTAAACGATGTTCGCGTAATATTTCTTCGCGCGCAACTGCTCACGCCGCTGCCGCTCACGCCCGCACCCACCATCTCCTCCTAACCCCTTCCCCCGACCTATGCGCCTCCCGCCACCTCCCCAACCCCTTCTTCCCCCTTTCTCCGCCCCCCCGCGCAGGCGCGTGCTGGGCGTTCGCCGCAGCGGGCGCCGTGGAAGGCGCGTACTACGCGCTGTCGTCGCAACTGCCGCCGAACTCGTCGCTGTCGTCGCAGCAGCTGGTGGACTGCGCCGTGGGGTCGTGCCTGGGCGGGTACCCCGAGGACGCGCTGCAGTACGCGACGGCGAACGCCGTGGCCTATGCGACGTCGTACGCGTACCGTGCGACGAAGGCGACGTGCAATGCGACGGGCGTGCAGCAGCACGTGGGGACGCAGGTCCCCATTACGAATGTGGTAAGGGTGGGTGCGGGGTGGGGGTTTGGAGGGGTTCGAGAAGGAGGTTGCCATGTTAGGGGTGGGTGGGTGGGTGGGTGCCTTTCACCATATGGTGCCACCATATGCATCGCATCGACTTGACGTTGCCATCACGGCACCTTTCCAATGTCGTTACCGTGGCACCACTCTGCATTCGCTGCCAGCTATGCCATGCTCTACTCTTGTACTGCACTGTCCTGTGCGGTACTCTGCAGTGCAGTGGGGTGCTTTGCCACACGCCCCTCAACGCTCAACAAACATCGCCAAGCGTCCGCCCTTTTTCCCTTCCCCTTTCCCTTCCCCTGCCTCCCGCCACCGCATTCCCCGCCTCCTCCGTCACTTCCCCCCTCCCCCTCCGCAGCCGCTCAACACGAGCACGGTGCCATCAGCGCTGCGCATCCAGCTGTACGAGCAGGTGCCGCTGCCCGGCGCGCTGGGGCTCATTCTCGCCGTGCAGAAGCAGCCCGTTATAGTCACGCTGCACGGCTCGCACCCCTCGTTCGCCACATACACGGTGAGAGAGAGAGCTGGTCGGGTGCGCTGTCCGGATGGTAGGAGGGATCGGGTCGGTTGCGAGGGCGCAGAGCCGAGGCGGGGACGGGGAATGCCGTGGTAGGCGGTGTGAGAGACATAGTATTTTTCTGAATTCAACGCTCCAAAATCCTCGTTCTGGTCTTGAATCTGATCCTGGCTGTCCATGGCGCATTCTCTCTCCAGCCTACCCCGCAAAGGCTTCCTTCTCACACCCACCCTCCCCTCGTCCCTTGCTCCTCCCCCGTCCCTCCGCTTGTCCTGTCCTCCCCTCCCCTCCTCTCGCGATCCCTCCTCACCCCTCCCCGCCGATCCCCACCCTTCCCTTCCCCCCCAGGGCGGGCTGTACGTGGACGAGTCATGCTTCAACCCAGCAAGCCCAGTACTAGACCACGCAGTTCTCATGGTGGGGTACTGCTTCACAGCACCTCTTGAGTCAACCCTCCCCAACCCTCCCCACCCATCCCTACCCCTCCCCCGCTCTCCAGGGCGGGCTGTATGCGGACGAGACGTGCTTCGACCCTGCAAGCCCCGTGCTGGACGACGCAGTGCTGGTGGTGGGGTACCGCTTCACGGCGCCCTTTGAGTCAACTGAAAGAAGCGCCCCTCCCCCCGCCTCCCCCCCCCCAGGGCGGGCTGTATGCGGACGAGACGTGCTTCGACCCTGCAAGGCCCGTGCTGGACCACGCGGTGCTGGTGGTGGGGTACCGCTTCACGGCGCCAGGCGCGAGCGACAACCATTTCGTGCTGCGCAACAGCTGGGGGCCTGGGTGGGGCGAGGACGGGTACATGCGCGTGGCCGTCAGCAGCGCGCAGTACGGAGGCATCTGCGGCATGACGTACAACCTGGGGGTCTACCCCGTGCTGGACCGTAAGTGCTGCGTGGGCAGTCTTGTTGCAGTCCTGTTGCGTGCGCAGTCTTGTTGCGGTCTTACTGCGGTATTCCAGGCCGCTTGCTCTTCTGAGACGACTCGAAACGTGATCCGTGTATGTACCCATCTCGCCTTCACTTTTCCCCTCTCCAAACCCTTCTCTCCCGCCCCCCTGCGTCTCTCCCAATTGTGCAGCCCAGAAGCAGGCTAACCCGTGCACATCATGCGGAGGGGGCGCTTGTAGAACCACTCGCATCCTCGCCCATGGCACATCCACCCCCATCCCCACCACCACCACCACATACTCCTCTTCCTCCTCCTCTTACCCCCCCTCCTCTGTCCCCTCTCGCCGTCTCCGTCGTTCCAACCTGGAGATTGCTCGCTCGCGGTTGCAGCGGGTGGCGCGAGAGGGGCCGGGGGACAGCAGGCGGCAGCTGGTTTCCAGCGACAGCAATCCTGGTAGAGGCCAGCAGCACCACCAGCAGCACCACCAGCAGCACCACCAGCAGCACCTGCAGCAGCAGCAGCAGCAGCGGCGGCAGAAGCAGCAGTGGCACAAGGGAGCGAGCAAGAAAGGCACGACACGAGCAAGCCCGAAGAAAGCAGGCAATGAGGCTGTCGTGACAGGCAGTAGTGGTGGGTCCAGCAGCAGTGCAGCCGTGATAGAGAGCAGCATCAAATCGGCCGCGTTGGGGATGGACAGCAGCAGCAGCAGCAGCAGCAGCAGCAGCAGGTCGTTGATGGCTGCAGCTCGTGCTATCTTCGCTGCTGTGAAGAGCAGCAAGGCGTTTGAGAAGATGAGAGGGGCAGCTGCTACTGCTGCTGCACGCTCCAAGGCACCTGCTGCTGCCACCACTAAAGGCACTAAGAAGAACTCTGCTCTTGTAAAGCCGGGCTCTTCTCTGCTGCCCTCTGCCCCTTCATGGCCTTCCTCCTCCTCCGCTACCTCCGCCTCCTCCTCCTCTGTCTCCTCCTCCACCTCTTCATCCTCGCTCTCCTCCAACCAGCAACCTCCCGGTCCTCTCCTAAAGCTCGTGAACCCATACGCGACATACTATATCGCGCCAACTCCCCCGCCTCCTCGCCCCCCCCCGCCCCAGCCCCCGCCTCCGTCCCCGCCTCCCTCGATCAGCACCCCGCCTGACAGCATGGCGTGCCCGCCCTCCCCCCCTCCCCCGCCGTCGTACGGAGGGTACAATTGCTTCTGTGGGCCGGGTCTCAGCCTGGCTATTAGCAAGGATGGCAGTCAGGCTTGCGTTATGGGTGCGTGGCGGAGGGTGGGGGAGCGAGAGGGGTCGGGGAGAGTATGGGAGAGGTAGGAAGACGAGCAGTGTGGCGAGGGAAAACAGTTGTTTGATACATGATTGTCTGTGAGGAGTCAGCATCAACTCCACACTTCTTGATGTCAAGCTACGATGGTCACCTCTTTCACTCCCTCGCTTGCTCCTCCTGCACACACCAGGAATCCTATCCCCCCTTCTTCTCGCCATTCCTAACCGGCATCCCTCCGCTTGCCCTCCCCTCCGCCCTCCCCTCCGCTTTCCTCCGCCCTCCCCTGCGCCCCCAACCCAGAGGACGCATGTGCAGCGTTCACGAGCAACCCGTGTGGGGGTGGTGCGTGTGTGAACGACGGTGAGGGAGGGTACACGTGTGTGTGTCCGCCCAACTACATGCGCAGCACCCTCAGCTCCGGCGCCCCCACCTGCGTGCCTCGTGAGTCTCTCGAATTTCAAACCCTGCCTTTGCTCTCTCCTTGGCTTAAAGAAGAGTCAACTCAGAAGAAGCATTGCGTGCTGTGCCAGGTAGATGCATTGCGCCTGCTGGTTGGTTCCTTCCATGTGCTGACGCGAGTGTTTGTTGAGCCTGCGTCATTCACTTGCAAGTGAAGGGGTTACAACAGGGCTAGCAGACAGGGGTGCGTAGATGAGGGGGAGGGGGGGTGGGGTTAAGAAAGGTGGTGAAGGAGGGGATTTTGTTCAGTCTTGCAGCTGTGCGTGTGTGCCCGCCAAGCTGCAAGTTGCAGCATCTGTGTTGCATTGGCCAGCAGCGTTATCCAGTTTGCTTGCCGCTAGCAATATCTGCGTGCATGATCGAGATGCCACACCACACTGCACCACACCACACCACACGGTCCACACCACACCGCATCACACTGCAGCGCAGCAGCAAAGCCTACAGCCTACTCTTCGATCCACTACTGCTAATACCACTACTGCTTCTAGCCCCTCGAACCTTTCCCACCCATCATCCTGGTCAGCCCCTCCCTTAACCCTCTCACCCCCGCCCTCTCTCCCTCACTCTTCCCCGCATCTTTCTCCGTGCAGGCATGGCGGGCAAGAGCAGCACGTACCAGGTGGTGGGCGGCGAGACATGCTATGACATCTACGTCTTCTTCGGCCTCTCCCAGGACAGCTTCCTGCAGCAGAACGCCGTGAGTGCTGCTGCCGCCGCCTGCTGCTGCCCCTACTGCTGCCCCTGCTGCTGCCCCTGCTGATGTGTGCGTCTGGTTCCTCTCCTCCGTCTGTTGGTCTCTTCTTATGCGTCATCAATCCCCCACCACCTCATGCTCTCGTGTCTCCCTCTCGCTCTCCCCATCTCCCCGGCAGGGCATAGACTGTGACAACCTGCAGGAGGGCATGGTGCTGTCTGTGCGCCCAGACGACGACGCCCAGCAGAGCTGCCGCACCAGATACCCCATCTCCCTGGTACCCATCCCATCTCCCTGGTACCCATCCCATCTCCCTGGTACCCATCCCATCTCCCTGGTACCCACCCCATCTCCCTGGTACCCACCCCGTCTCCCTGGTACCCATCCCATCTCCCTGGTACCCACCCCATCTCCCTGGTACCCATCCCGTCTCCCTGGTACCCACCCCATCTCCCTGGTACCCACCCCATCTCACTGGTATGCACCCTGTCTCATCAATGCTCCTCCCCCATTTCACTGCTACTCGGCCATGTCACCAGTAGCCTTCACATGGGCCCTTCTCTCTCCGCACCGCACTGCACCACACCTCCTTCTTCTCCCCATTCGCCTCGCTCCTCCTCCCATCTCCTCCCTCCCCATTCTCCTCCTCTCCCTTTCTCTCAAATCACCCAGCTTTCCACACTCGTCCCAGCAACCACATCCCTCCTCACCCCTCTCCTCTCTCCCAGTCCTTCCTCAATCTCACTTTCCCACCCGCCTTCCAGCCAAGAGCCTGGCTGTGCAGCGTCTCAAAGGTCTCCCCCTCGTCTCCTCGTGCCATGCACCCCCTCAGGTGGACAGCCTAGCATCGGACTGTTCAGCCATAGAGGACCGCTTTGTGGTGTAGTTTTCAAGCACCTCAAAACTAATCGTCTCAGATGTCCCCCTTTCTCCTCCTCGTCCCATGCACCCCCTCAGGTGGACAGCCTAGCATCGGACTGTTCAGCCATAGAGGACCGCTTTGGCGTGGACGTGATTTCACTTAACCCAGGCATCGACTGCTCACACCTTGTGCCTGGCCACCAGGTAACAGGCATTAGGGGGTTTCAGAGCCATTGTTCAGGTTGTTAAATTTTCATCTTCTTCTTCTACCTCTTGTTCTTCTTTAAAGTCCGTGATTTGGTGTTTTGAGTCTGAAGCTCTGCTTTGTCCTCTTCCTGCACACACCACAGATTCACCACAGCTCGACTCACTGCAGAATTCTAGTTTCAGGCGCCTCATGTGCCTTTTGAGTCGACTCAAAAGGTACCGCCACCAAACCAACCCTTCCCCCCCCCCCCCCCCGTCCTCAACCCCATCCCCTCCCGTCTCCCAGCAGGTGTGTGTGGAGCGGGGGAAGAGCATGGCGGGCATGGAGGAGCACCGCATGTGCACCAAGTACCAGCGCATGGACGTGGGGGACAGAGCCGGGGGGGAGAGGGGAGAACACGGCAGTAGTGTGTATGTATGCTGTGTCTGATTGAGCATTGTCTAATCCTCTCTCCTTGCAGGTGTGTGTGGAGCGGGGGAAGAGCATGGCGGGCATGGAGGAGCACCGCATGTGCACCAAGTACCAGCGCGTGGACGTGGGGGACACGTGTGAGAGCCTCATCGACAGCAACGGCCTCTCGTGGCTGTCTCTGTTCCGCCTCAACCCGGGCCTGCTTTGCGATAACCTCAACGGGCTTATAGACCAAGAGGTGTGTGTGGAGGGGGAGATGGTTGGGAGGACAGTTGAGGCGCCTCAAAAGCCGCCTCGACCCGGGCCTGCTGTGTGAGAGGGGGGGGAAGAGGGGAGGGTGAGAGTAGAGAGGGAAGGAGAGGAAGAGGGAGTTAGGAGGGCAGAGAGACGGGAGAGCGAGGAAATGCAACCCATTTGTGCAGTTTCCCCCGATGCATATGAGATCTTTCTCAACCTCACTCCCCTGTTTTCCCTCTTGCCCACTCTCCCTCTCCCCACGTCCTTCCAACCCTGGCATCAGATCTGTGTGGCAGGGCACCCCGTGGGCGCAGTGGTGTGTGGGAAGCCGGTGCAGGGAGTGAAGAACCGGCGGTACACGGTGAACGCGGGCGACAGCTGTGCGTCGCTGGTGGTGGTGCAATTCCAGCGCCAGCCGCCGCTCGTGCCGCTGCTCAACCGCGGGTGGATGTGCCGCCAGCAGTCGCTTTTCAAAGGCATGCCGCTCTGCATTCCCTCTTGATTCCTGAAGGGCATGCCGTTTGGAGCAAGGAGGAAGAGGAAGGGGAGGCGGGGAGGAGGTAATGCTTCTTGGAGAGCACCTGTGGAGGTTTACTGACGAGAGGGGAGAGGACAATAAGGGGTACTGACAAGAGGGGCCTGTGTGTTTGCTTTGAAGACAAGCTAACGTGAGCAGCGCATGCGGTCACTCACCTGACAGCATGAGGTTTTGACCCAGCAGTTTAGGCTGGAATATGAGTACGGTGTCAGAGAACAAGCTAACGTGGAAGCATGCATCTTGCTGTTCCACATAAAAGAAATCGCACCCTGGTGCCCTAGGTACGATTTTTTCCTGTGTGTGTAGTGGTGATTGTCGCTTTGTGTTGTGGCCACACCCAGGGCCTCAGATGTCAGGAATTTTACCCTGAATTCCTGAAGTTTGACCCCCGTTTTTTATCATGACCCTGATGCATCAGCCTTTTTTTTTCAACGACCCTGATGTTTCAGTGTTTTTAAATTTCGAACTCTGATTTTCCAGTGTTTTGTGTTTGAGGACAATAACGAGTCAGTGTTGTATCGGGGTCTACCCTGAAACTGAAAACTCCTTGTTTTGGCGCGCCGTCACTGTGCACCGTGCACCAAGGGGATTTCTGGCGAAACATGCTCTGACAGGGCGAATCTCTTGTGTGAGGGGCGAATCTTCTGCTGTGTCAGGGCAAATCTGCTGTGATTGGGCGAATTTGCTGTGCTGCGACAGCGCGTAACGACTGTGCGAGGTCGAATTTGCCGTCAGGGCGAATCTGCTGTGACGAACCAAGTCCGAATCATCAGTCAAGTACACAACCAGAGATCAGAAACAATTCTTAACAATTGTCCTATTCGATTGGTCAGACAAGATTTCTGACCAATCAGACACGGAAATAGCAGAATCCTGGCCGAATTTGGGAATTGTAAAGTGAGGGCAGTCTGATTCGCTGTGTTATGACAGCATACCAGAAAAGCAACTATGCTGATCAGTGTTGAAGTTGTAGAAACCCTGATTGATCAGCGTTTTATTTCTAACAACCCTGTAAATTCAGTGTTTCACACTAGACGACACTGAAAATCAGTGTTACCCTCCTAGGGACACTGAGTGCTCAGGGTACACAAAAACCAATCTGAGGCCCTGGCCACACCACACACAGTGATGATTGTGACAAATTTCTACCTAATTGAACACCAGCAAATTTCTTTTTACTTCAGTTTTTATGTAGTGCGATCAGGTGGCAACTTCCGCTAGAATGGTGTGTTAATTCTCAGGCCTTTATTTGCCCTTTTTACGAAAACGTTTCATACACGCCAAAATTGGGGAAATCATTCACTTAGGAGAAAAGATGGAATATGATGGCTGAAGCTTGTAGTAAGGTCTGTGTCTGCATCTGTAATGAGCGTACCAGACCGAGTTCGGGTGCTCAAATCATGCAAACCACGTGGAACGAAATGGAAAAAACTTGTTGTGGATGTGGAAAATAGTGCATTAGCAAGAAAATTGGGGCATCCAATGCAGTGGACCAATCAAAGTGATGCGTTGGGCAGTCTGGTCTCTGTGTGCACCTATAATAAGCGTACCAGGCAGAGTTCGGGCTCTCAAATCATGCAAACCACGTGGAACTGTCAAACATATATCTATGTTTATAGTTTGGGTAGACTTAGTGGGGTACTCATTGTGGGGTACAACCCCTTAGGTTTCTCCTTTGTACCAACTCTCTCGATAGTCAAACTTCATCCTTGCCTAAGACTCTAACATGGTATCAGAGCATAGGTCCTTAGGACCTAGGATTAGGGCCCACCGTTTACTTTTTACCTACCTTGCCTACTGCCCGCGCGCGCCTTGGCTGCACGCGCGCGGCCCTTTTTTTTTTCCCGCGCACGCCTCTTAAGCAGCCCGCGCGCAGCCCGTTTAGGCCTGTTTTCGGCCCCGCGCGCCACGTCAGCCGCCTGCGCAGCCTGCCGCCGGCCCGCGCGTCGCGTGAGCCGCCCACGCGCAGCCCGCTTAGGCCCTGCGCGCCGCGTCCGCCGCCCGCGTAGCCCGTTTTTCGGCCCCGTTTTAGCCTGCCGCCGGCCCCGCGCGTCGCCTCCTCCGGTGACGGCGCGCTGCCCCCCGTCGCCCGTCACGGCGCCTGTGGGACCCGCGCGCTGCCCTGCACCAGCTACGCCGCCCCTGGAGCAGCCGCCCCTGGACCCAGAGCAGCCGCCCCTGGCCCCTGAAGCAGCCGCCCCTGGTGCAGCCGCCCCTGGACCCTCGAGCGCCGCCCCTGGACCCAGAGCAGCCGCCCACGGCCCCTGCAGCAGCCGCCCCTGGAGCAGCCGCCCCTGGACCCCGAGCAGCCGCCCCTGGCCCCTGAAGCAGCCGCCCCTGGACCCAGAGCAGCCGCCCCTGGCCCCTGAAGCAGCCGCCCCTAGAGCAGCCGCCCCTGGACCCAGAGCAGCCGCCCCTGGCCCCTGAAGCAGCCGCCCCTGGTGCAGCCGCCCCGGGACTCCGTGCAGCCGCCCCTGGACCCAGAGCAGCCGCCCCTGGACCCTCGAGCGCCGCCCCTGGACCCAGAGCAGCCGCCCCTGGCCCCTGCAGCAGCCGCCCCTGGAGCAGCCGCCCCTGGACCCCGAGCAGCCGCCCCTGGCCCCTGAAGCAGCCGCCCCTGGTGCAGCCGCCCCTGGACCCTCGAGCAGCTGCCCCTGGACCCAGAGCAGCCGCCCCTGGCCCCTGCAGCAGCCGCCCCTGTTGCAGCCGCCCCTGGACTCCGTGCAGCCGCCCCTGGACCCGCGACGCCGCCCCTGGACCCCGTGCAGCCGCCCGCCAAGCGCCGGCCCTGCTCGCCCAGCGAGCGCCTTCTCTTCCCGCCACTGGTGAGCACCGCCTTGTTTGCGCGCTACCGCGCCATCTGCCTGCCTGCCTGCCTGCCTGCCTGCCTGCCTGCCGGCCTGCCTGCCTGCCTGCCTGCCGCGCCTGCCCTGCACGCGCTGCTGCTGCTACTACTGCTGTTACTGCTGCTACTGCTGCTAGTACTGCTACTGCTGCTACTGGCGGTGGCCAGATGCAGCTCCAGCGACATCCTCGTGAGTCCCTCACGCCCCAGCAACTTAGTGAGTGGTACGCTAGTTGGGGTTGTAGGGGTGGCCGCGCTGCTACTGCTGCTACTGCTGCTACTGCTGTTACTGCTTCTACTGCTGCTACTACTGCTACTGCTACTACTGGCGGTGGCCAGATGCAGCTCCAGCGACGGCCGCGCGAGTCTCTCACGCCCCAGCAGCTTAGTGAGTGGTACGCTAGTTGGGGTTGTCGCGGTAGCCGTCGTAGCTGTCGCCCTGGAGCTGGTCAGTTGGGAGCGTCTGGCAGTGGCCAGCTGCAGCTGCAGCGGCGTCCACGCGAGACACTTACGCCCCGGCAGCTTCACGAGTGGTACGCTCAGAGTAGAGGGTCTTTTAGTACCGTTCGCTGCCCGTACGTCATTCGCACAAGTGATCGGACTGGTGAGGCTTGCGGGACGCTTGGTCACACAGAGTCCCGCTGCTTCGCCCGTCTGAGTGACGCCTGGCGTACCGAGTTTGGCGACGAAGCTGAGCTCCCCGACTGGGTGGAGCTGCTTGGGCAGAGGGTATATATATTTGCTCTTGACTATGATGCTATTCTCACTACCATGTATGCATTGCCTACTAGTGCTGACCGTGCCTGTTACCTGTGCGTACCGCCTGACCCAGGTATAGAGCCTGCCGCTCCAGGTGCTGGTGAGTCTGCTCTCTCTGGTACTGCGCCTGCTGAGGCCTTATACACCTTCACACTTGACTCTGGTGCTTCTCGCTCCTTCTTTCGCGACAGCACCACCCTCACGCCGCTCAGTCGGCCGGTTCCAGTCTCCCTGGCAGACCCCTCTGGGGGTCCAGTCCGTGCGACCTCCTCCACTGTCCTCCCTTGTCCTGCTGTCCCGTCCGGCACACTGTCGGGTCTTTACCTCCCCTCGTTCTCTACGAACTTGGTGGCGGGTTCTGCGCTCTAGGACGCAGGTGTTCACCAGTTCACCCCTGCCTACGAGCGTGTGACACACTGCACGTGTGCTCAGACGGGTCGTCACCTGGCTACTTTCACTCGGCAGCCTGGGTCGGGCCTGTACACACTGACCACTGCGTCCCCTCAGGTAGCTGCGTCTGCGTCTGCGTCATGTCAGTTGTCATCCCCCTGCTCGTGTCGCGCCTTGTCGCACCAGACGGTCCTTTGGCACCACCGCATTGGTCACCCCTCGGTGCAGCGCCTTCGCAGCATGCACCGCCGGGTCCTTGTCTCTGGTCTTCCTAGGGTTCTCCCTCCCCTCCCACCCTCACCTGCTCCTCCCTGTCTTCCCTGTATCGAGGGGCGGCAGCGCGCCGCTCCTCACTCCTCCTCGTTCCCTCCCACAGAGGCTCCCCTGCAGACTCTCCACCTGGACGTGTGGGGCCCAGCCCGCGTCCATGGACAGGGCCACGAGCGGTACTTCCTGCTGGTCGTCGACGACTACACGCGTTACACCACGGTCTTCCCCTTGCGCACCAAGGGTGAGGTCCCTGGTGTTTTGATCCCTTGGATCCGCGCTGCTCGTCTCCAGCTCCGCGAGCGGTTCCGGACGGAGTTTCCCGTCCTGCGTCTGCACTCTGACAGAGGTGGTGAGTTTTCCTCCGACCTCTTGGCAGTCTTCTGTGAGGAGCACGGCATCACCCAGTCGTTCACGCTTCCGGCCTCTCCGCAGCAGAATGGGGTTGCTGAGCGCCGCATTGGCTTAGTCATGGAGGTCGCTCGTACCTCCATGATCCATGCGGTTGCCCCCCATTTTCTGTGGCCGTTTGCGGTCCGGTACGCCGCTCATCAGCTCAACCTCTGGCCCCGTGTCTCCTTGCCGGAGACCTCGCCCACACTGCTGTGGACGGGGAAGGTTGGCGATGCGTCGCGTTTCCGGGTCTGGGGTGCTCGTGCCTTTGTCCGGGATACCACCGCGGAAAAGCTCTCCGCTCGCGCTG